TCCCCCCCCCCCCCCTACGTTCCTGAGAAACTAAACAACTTGGATATGTTTTAGAAAAATAATCTTTCGTTCGATAATACAAGTAGAAGTAATTGTTAAAAGTCTATAATAAATTTTTGAAAAAAATAAATTGAATTTAGGAACGTTTTTGTTCCGAAAAGTTGCTTTTTGTGCAAAGAGAAATAACGACATAAATTTTTTTAAAATTGGTTGATATTTTCCATTCACACATTGTTCTTAAAAAATTTATTTTTAAACTTTTTTTTAAGTTAGCTAAGACCTTGAAACAAACACGCTTTAATTTTTCCTACCTTGTTTCATAGTTGGAATATCCTAAATAATTTAATTTTCTTAAAAAATTAAATTATTTAGGATTACATTGTTCTTAAAAAATGTATTTTTAAACTTTTTTTAAGTTAGCTAAGACCTTGAAACAAACACGCTTTAATTTTTCCTACCTTGTTTCATAGCTGGAATATCCTAAATAATTTAATTTTTAACGTTTGCGCAATGTTTCAACAAAAAAAACTCCTTAAATTTACCAGTTTTTCATAAATTTCATTTCGCTTATTATGTTCGATTAGAACAACCCACGCAAACGTCGAGATCCACCTATACACTATCCTACCAGCCATCCAATTTTTGCTGTTTTTTTGCATTATATTTACAGCTAGTTACAAAGATCTTCAATGGCATAGAATTCTTTGGTTTACTGCAATGTACAGGTTCCTTTCTTATATCCCACATCTGAAGTTTGATTTTTCAGAGAAATGAGGCATAATATATCTAGACTTTAGTGTTGCTCGGATATAATCATCTCTAGCTTCAGTATTTTATTCGAAGCCAACTATCATACGTTTGACATACCTTTCGATAGTCTAGGAGTGATAGAGAAATTTGGGTGTCTCTCAAATGGCGTAGTGTCAGAATTAATGTGTGTTTTAATATCTTCACTTAAGTCGTGTAGCATTGTTGAAGGGTGTAAAATACAAGAATTTCACTACATAATTTCAAAGTAATCTGAAGGTAGAAAGGCTATTTTCGGTAGTACAAAGCTTCAAATTGCCTTGCTTTTAATATCCTTTTAATATGCAACCTAAAGACTTGATTGAATACAGTTAGCCGTCTAAAATGGGATAAAGGAACAGGATCGCGAGTCGCCAAGTCAACTGGACGGTGGTTCACGGTGATTGTACTTAAAATGTACAGAAGATGTTTGTTGATAAGAATTTATCGAGCAAAGACCAAGCTTCGGATTTATTGGAATTCTTGTGTGGCCAATGTTGCGAAACTCGAGTGAAGATATTAAATCACTCATCAATTCTGGCACTAGGCACATTAGAGAAATACCAATTTTCCTGCCACATACAAGTTGTGTTAAATATGGAATAAAATATATGAACTTGAAGCTATATATGAATCCGAGCAACACCAAGATCTAGTTTAACCTCATTTCATCGAAAAAAAAATGGGGCTTTAAATGCACAGTAGGTAAAAAAAAGGAATTTTAACAAAACCAAAGAATTCTATTCCATTGAAAATCGTCGCAAATAATTGCAAATATAATATAATGTAAAATATCACATCAAAAAATTTGATTGATTGGGTAAGGTGTAGGTGGAACTCGACGTGCAACACATACATTTTTATCTAAACATTCCAAGAATGTAGAAAATTAAATTATTGAAACCATCAAACAAGCATACAAAACTAAAACGTGCTTATTTCAAAAGTTTTAGCCAACCAATTTTTTTAAAAAAATACTTGTTTTTTTTCAAGTGTTTATTAATTTTAAGGACGATGTACAAACGGAAGATAATAACAGGTTTTAAAAATTTTTTATACCGTTTTCATTCTTATAACAGGCAACTTTTCCCCATTGAAGCCTTTACTTCTCACTCTAGAGTCAAGGGGTAGTGTTGTTAAAAAGTAATGGCTTATCAATATGGAATCAACGATTTCTGGTGCTATTTTCAAAACATAAATGCTCAAAAACTAAGATAAATTTGGCATTTTTCTCATATTCATAATGGAGGAATAAAAAATTCTAACTTGGTATTCTTTATGATAATTGCATTTAGTAAATAAAAGTATTTAACTCTACTCTTAGTTTAAAGTGATTTTGTTCTTTGTGTTCCTAAATAAAACACTTGTTTTAATTTCGACAGTATGTTAATGAAAGAGGAAGTGAAATATGGATAAAAACAGAAGAAACATATACCGAGTTTCATCACAAGAAAAAGAATTAAGATTACAGGTATAACCATTTTACAGATTATAGGTACCTTTTCTTTGAAATCATTAGAGCAATTTTTTTTCATTATGCAAAAGAAATGTCTTATCAGCAAATTCTAAAACTAAAATTCGATCTTTATTATTATATAGATATAATAATAAAGATCAAATTATTATTATTAAAGATTATTATAAAGACCCTTATAACCTTTAATAGTTTATTGATTTTGACTAATTTGCCAAAGAATGTTCTTGCAAGTATCACTTAAGTGACCTATAATTTTTTTTCAATACTTGTACAGTCCGCAAAAAAAAAAAAACGAATCACCCTGAATAACTTTCGTTCTAATGATCGGATTTTCACGAACTAAGTGTCAATCTTAATGGTTCCTGGGGGTGACCTCAAATATGCTAATTAATTAGTGCTAACTATTAATTAAGTTACGAAATCAGACACAAAAACGTACTTTCTCTGAATAAACATATATTTTTTCTTACATATTTGGATTCTTAACCTTCAAAATATAGGGGGTAGCCGCAATCTGGGAAATATGGTCCCCATAGTTTGGTCAGGAGAGCGATCCAAAGTTCGTACCCCTTAATGTTAATTTCACTTTTTACGTTTTTAGTCATATTTTAAAAACTAATAAAGCAATTCGAAGAAAATTTCACCCAGTCATAAAACTCATTTACCCAAAGATAATTTCACGAAAAAAATAATTTTTAATAATTGTTAATTATTTTTTATTATTTAATTAAATTAAGGATGAAAAATTTTTGAATTATAAGGTATGAATTTTTTTATACCATATTAATCTACATATTTTTCAATTGAAAAATCTAAAGTTTCAACTGTTTTTATTTATTAGAAGCTGAGAAAAATTAAAATTAATTATTTTTAAAAAAATAATTTGGCGACAATGAAGAAATGATTAAATGGAGCGATTAATATTAAAATGTGATAAACTTGCGAGGAACTTGACTTCGCGCGCTTAGCATAAAATTTCATTCATATTTTTTTCGCTAATAATCGTTTGCTTATCTTTTCATTTTTATTTTTTTAAGCTATAAAATACGATGTTTCTTCTTTAGTCGTCTAAAATTCTATTTGCAATTTAGTAAAGAAATTTGAATAAAACATTTTATTGAATAAAATACATTTTATTCAGAGAATGTGGAGTTTTATAAAAGCATGCTTCTGATAGAATATGATTATACAACAGATTGTGCTTCTTTAATGTGATTTTTTTTTATTTTTTTTTTCTCAATAACTGATAAAATTTCAATAATATACATACGAATGAATAAATTTGGAATAAAATATTCATCAATTTCTTGAATATATATTTTATAAATATTAATAAAAATACGCAGTCAACATTTTTAAGCATCTCTCACAACATCGCAAATTTCTCAAAATCTTATAGGGTAAACTAACCAGTGAAGGAATACTTAAGCTTAGCTTGTCTTTAAAAAAAAATCATAAAAATTTCAAAATTTGTAATTTTAGCTAAATGACGTATTTGTTATTAAATGCATGTCGACATATTTGTTATTAAATGCAAATTATGTAAAAAAAATTTAGATAACTTACATAATATTGTTTTAAGCTTTTGGTGGTTTAAATAATAAGTAGTAAGATAACCAAGTGAAGGAACAGTTCTTAAATTGAATAAACACTAAATTTTCCAGTGAATGAACACTTAATTTTGAGAATGTTTGATGCTCGTTAGGAATCCTTAGGCCACACAGATATCTGTCGCCCTGTAGATGCCTGAATTGACGGATGTTAACACAGGCGGGCATTAGGAAAAAAAAATCTTTTAAGTTTTCGTGCCCCCATTTCAGTATCTTAAGGGCCTTACGAGCTCTGTTTAAAAAGAGAGTATCATATCAGATATATATATATATATAAGAAAACAAAAATAATCATAGTAGCAGTATTTGGTGGTAAATGTAGCTTATCGTAATTGAAGAATATGCTGTGCGACATTTTATGGTGAATTTGCGAACGTAAGTTTCAGAATGTATCGAAACATGTGGATGCTATTTGCTAATCATCTTTATCCAAAGAAAACCATGTAACGTAAATATCTAGCAAAATGAAGCAATTTTTTAAACAATGAATCATACAATATGCAACATATTATTTCTATATCTTATTCTTAAACATAACATATTTCAATGTTTTTAAAATGCCACTAAACATTCAGCAATTCATTGAGTTATAGAAAAAAGAAATCGTAAATTACAGAAAACCTTGTGAATGTGCATTAGAATTACTATACAATCTACATTTTATTTTTCATGCACTTTTTTTTCCTTCAAACTTTCATGCCTAGAAGACTCGATTAAAGCTGTAAAAATCATTATCCCTAAAATTTTGTATATAGCTATTATAAGTTATGTTAATTTGATTTTAGTATGAAATCCTCGAATAAACATAGCAAAAATAGCATAATCTAAATAATATCAGATAAAAAGTTCATGTATTTAAATTCTGAAAACTTATAAATCGATTCAAATTTTCTTTTCAAAAGAGATTAAAATAATTTTTTATTTTATTTATTTATTTATTTTTTTTGCTTTTTGGACATAAATGAACTTAAAAATTGTCTATTGCCTAGAAACTTCGAGATGTTTTCTATTAACTATTAATTAAACCTCTCAGAGCAATCACAAAACATTATTTCAATTTTTTTACAGTCAGAAATTGGTTGCCTAGCAACCTAGTAAAATTAAGCGTTTCTCTTTTGAATCAGTCAATGGGTTATCTTAAAATATTTATTTGCGCAGGCGACTTTTTTTGGCGGTTTTCTGGACTATCGCCAAATATATAAACCTTTATTGCAACCCAATTTACGACCCAATTGTTTTAAAATTTTGTCTACCCCCCCTAATTCAAGTGTCTAGATTCCAAATATGTAAAAAAAAATGCATGTTTATTCAGAGAAAGTACGTTTTTGTGTCTGATTTCGTAACTTAATTAATAGTTAGCACTAATTAATTAGCATATTTGAGGTCACCCCCAGGAACCATTCAGATTGACTCTTAGTTCGTGAAAATCCGATCATTAGAACGAAAGTTATTCAGGGTGATTCGTTTTTTTTTTTGCGGACTGTACAAAATCTACCTAGTTGAAAACAATAATCTGCTTGGTCTTAGTTTTGGAAACAGTTCAAATTTTGTGTTTCTGCATAAAAAAAAGAAAGAAAAATCAGTAGAGTAAGCTTGACAGTAAGTATTGTATACCTTGCATCACAAATAATTTATAAGTAAATTAGAGATCATTTAGACTTGAATTTCAAATAGGTTAGTGAATATCACTCTTTATGTAGATTATACTTCTGTAGGGAAACATTAGACTTAATTTCTTTCCCAATCAAATATTTTACGCTAAAAAGAGTAATATACTGTTAATTTGAAGTAAATTTAAAATCAACTAGGTACATTGATGGTTCAGAGTATTCAGAATACCAATAAATGTTTCAAATATTCACATTAACAAGTGAAAAACTATACATAAATGCTTTTTCTTTTTAAAAAAAATGAAATTTTTAAATAATCTCAATTTATGATTAACTTATATTTCAGGTACTGCCATACTAGTGCTATAGTTTCAATAGAACTAAGGTAAAAATGTTCTTCTCTATCAATAGTCATGGAATTCCATTTGTTTTCTAAGAAATTATTTTCATAGCAAAATACTAGTGCTAGAAAATTAATATAATTTTGGACTACAATAGAAATTTATAAAAGTACAAGATCAAATATTCACAAAAAAAAAAAAAATGATGTTTGTAGATCTTAGTACCAATATATTAACTGTAAACTTATAAAAACAATCAAAATAGCAATTTAACATGAAATGTATCATTATCTTTTTAAATTCAGCTTTCTGATAGGGTGATGCATAGTACTTTAAACATTTCTAATATTGCAATGAAAATAACAAATGTTAAGAATTGGAATCAAATATTTTCTCTTCAATTTTTTGTTATATTGAATGGTTGCAATTTAGTTAAGTTGATCAAAATACTTTACATGAGTATGATTAAAAAAATCTTTCATTTTTAAATATTTGTTTTAAATGCTAGAAGTTATGAAACTATCTTTTTCAAAAACTACGAAAACCAAAATGTCAGCTTACTTTTAACAAAGTAGAGAAAGAAAAAATGAAATTGTGATAATGAGCTAAATTTAAACTTAATATTATACAAATAATTCATAAATCATAAAATTTTATTTTATTTAGGTAATAGAAAAAAGAAAGAGCCAAGAAAGAAAAATGTATTTGAGTGTTTAAAGTAGAAAAATAAAGAATATTGCCAAAGTTGATGAGTTACATAAATTTATTAACAATTACATGCTTCAAAATATTGACAACTTTATACTAATTACAAAATAATGTATGTCTTACACATACAACAGGTATTTTGGCATTACTAAACTTGCTGAATTATCGAAAAATAGTTAATAAATAAAAAATCTAATAGAGACTAATAAGAAATACATCACAATATTTCACTCATTAACAAAAAGTTAATAAGTTATGCAGTAATTATTACTTTTTGAATACTTTTATAAAATAATATTATCGACATATTTGAGACACAGATTAATTATGCAACGCATTTTAAACCCAATAATACATTAAAAAACTCAATATCAGAATCTTTTACACAGATTTAAAGGTATGCATTTTCTATTAAAAACTTTGTTCTAATGTTTAAGTTGGAAAAAAAAAAGTTTTTAAAATGAAAATATTACCCTGTAGAAGAAAAAATGAGTAAGGAAAAAAGGTAAAACAGATATGGTGAAAAATTGGATCATACATATAACATATGAAAGTTCTTAAATCAGCTAAGAAACTAAACATTTTGTAGAATAATAATATAAACCTTTTACAAGTATACAATCAATTCACTATAACTCAAATATGTTAACATGTTAATTGTTTTTTAAAAAAAAGATATGATTTTTTATAGCTGCAAAAAATTGGGAATAACACCCTAAGACAAGTAAACTTATGGGCAGTAAGTAAATTTGTTATTCTTTGCTCATATTGTTTGCATTGTCAACAATAATTGTACACTTAATTGCATTGGAATCAGGAAAAGATAAGAATCAATGAAGCTCTAAGCATTTATAATTTATCTCCATTTTTAATTCACCATGTTTTTGATGAGTTTTGTGTTTATCATTTATTGTTAGTTTGCAAGGAAAAAAAGATTATCTTCAAATATGCCTAAAGAAAAGTTAAAAAGTAACAGAAGATATAGCATATATATATAACGATAACGTAAAAGTAGAGAATTTTTCTAAATAATTTAAGATAAAGATCCTTAAATGATATATATTCATAAACACACTGTCAAAAAGACAATTGCTAACATTTGAAAATCAAAGCAAATGGTAGATGACGTTTTTAAAAGGTCAAGGTTTGTCGGCCCTATCAAATGTGAGAAATAGTAAATTAAGTGTAAGATAGCATTTTGTTATTTATATCAGATATGCAATTATCTGATATAAATAACACAAGAAGTTAAAATCAAACAAAATACCTAAATATACACAGAAAATATAAATGCTTTGCTTCAGATAACTCAATAAAACCAGGAATATTTAGAGGAGTAATTCTATAATTTAAAACTATCCTTTATAATTTTTAGTTTAAATAATGAAGCATTAAAAAAATACTTTGAAAAATAAATAAAACTGCAATTAATACACTAAATAGTTCATTAAAGCATTTTAAATAGCCAATATTATAAATTATATGAAGCTATTTTGAACTAATAAAATTATATATATATATAAATTCAGGCCAGTAATAACTACATATATATTAGAATAATCATGAAGTATAGATTTGATATGCTAGTTTTTTTCAATTACTTCAATCATATATTGATTTAAGAATTAATCTTTAATTTTGATAATTGCATTTTGTTGCCAACAAAGTGAATAAAACATTAAGTTGGTGTCAAAATTTCTCAGAAATATAAATGTGGAAGGAAAAAAAAGGGCATAAGAAAATGCATTTATGTTGTATTGATTCTAGCTAAAAATGTAAGGTGGCCTCACTTTTTCAAAAATATACCTGGTTTGACTTACAAGGTGAAGTAGAAATTTTATAAGGAGTCATAATACAAAATAATATTGTATACCTGCTTATGAAGTAAAGCTCACCTGCAGCGGCCAGTTGTTGGTCTACAGGGTCATGGAGGTAAAACCTTCTCAGTTTTGAGAGAAATGACATAATAGTGGCTATGTGATTAGTATTGTGTATCAACCACCCTTACTTCCCACCCAGGCTGTTAGTCAGATAAACTTCAAGTCATCTTTGAGGTTAGAATCCCTGTTTCACATGACAGTAAAGTTCCTAAACAACTTTACGATAGCAGCACATAATTGCCTATTCTTTCAATAAACTTTAATAAATATTTATTCTAGCTGAGCAAGGAACTTGAAAATGTTTCAAACTTATTTAGTAAGCAGATAAAGTTCTGCAATGCGTAAGAAAGTTTTTCTAAAACCTAGCAGAGAGCTACACATGGACTGTTAAAAAATTTCTTCACCAACCTAATATTATTATTATTAAAAAAGAAAAAAAACTTGATGGGTTTAATGGTAGGAGGTTAAATGAGAAAAAAAAGAGTGCAAAATACATGGATTTTTATTTATGTATTGAATGCAGAAACACAATCATACAAAGCTGCTTAAAACAACTAAACTTATAATCAACATAATTATGTCAAAATTATCAGTAAAAGGATTTTATTTTATTTAATCACAAATAACATACATAACTATATTAACACATTTTGTAGTAAGATAGATAAAATAATTTCAACGAATAAACTTGTCTTATAATAATAATAAATGAATAAAAACAGGGTCGAAATCCAAAAAGGGAAAAATTAAAAACTTGCAATTACATTTTCCCCCAAACAAAAATGAGATTTTAGAAACTACTTTTTATATAAATCAACAACTCCTTATAAATAAAAATATTCCAATGTCAACAAAAAACAAGTTTCAATGAAAATTAAGCTCACAACCAAAGACTAAACTGTTTGGAATGCATGAACACATTAGAAACATTTTAACAACAGTTTCACATTTTCTCTAAACAAAACATACATAACTAGTTAAAAATCCATAAAAGTGTTAGTGATATATAATCTCTATATATTGGATGGCAAACTCCTTATTTACAACTCACTGCTTAAATAAGGATGGAAATTTCTTTTTCACAGAATGAAAAATAGAAGTATAATTATAAAAATGATTAGCAGCAAAACTCCAATAGCAGTCCACTGCCTTTTATCTAGAAGAAAAAGAAGTTATAAATACCAAAATGAAAACAGCTAAGTTACAAAAAAGATGAAAATTCAGCAGAGTAGCAAGATTTTTTTATAAAGGTAGTAATATATTGGGTTGTTCAGAACGTATTTCTTTTTTTTTTTTTTTTATGAAAATGAAAGATGGTTTTGTTATAGTGAATAAATATTTTATTGAATTCCAAATAAATGAATAAATATTTTATTGTTCATTCTGGTTTAATGCCTTTGGTCATATTTCTTGCAGTAACATGATTCCAAATTCATAAAAGTTTTGTTCCTTGCTGGCGAAATACAGATCCAGGTGACTTTTGACTTCCTCATTAGAATCGAAGGTTTTACCATCGAAAAAATTATGCAGAGATCAAAACATTGTTGTAGACAACCTATTTCTCATTCCCAATGATGATGCATATTAAAATTGGATAATTTTTGTACGTCCAAATTTGTTTTAGAAGCAAATCAAAGGCATAAATGGGACCGTACAAATTTCTTTTGGGCAGAACAGGAAGAACCCATATGTCGAGATTTGAAATTAAAATAAATCTTAGGCATTTCAAATTGATATTAATTGTTGAATTAAATAAATTTGATCTCATAGCAACTTCAAGAGTTGCTATCCGCTTATTTAGCTTCAACTGACGTAGTGGATTTTAAATGATGTATCAAAACTTTGCAAACCAGTTTTGGCACTAGCATACTGTCAATACAGCCTCTCCACACATGTAGAATAGTTTTTTTCCAGCTGGAACAGTATTTTTTATCTTTTCAACAGTAAATAAAATAAAATATGTCGTATTTTACTTTCCATACTTGAAAGGGTACTAACCAAAATCTATAGCATCGAATCAATCGAAATTTTTCAGAACAAGCCTTGTTATACCTGCTGGCTTAGGAGAGAAATTGGCAGTGAAAAAGTGTAATTACTTTCCGAAGAACCCAATACATTAAGAGAGAGATACGTAACCATTAATAAAAACTTTATTCATTATATATTATGAAATAAATCAAATAATAAACCTTACAAGAAAAGAAAGAAAATAAGGAAAAAGAGTGCGACATAAATAACAATTTCATGAAAGTCAATAACTTCCAGCGGCATTAATCACTTAAAAAGATTCAAATAATTCTTTTCCAGATTATTAAATATTTTTTTGTCAAGTTTCCAAGAATAGATTTAGTAGTTAACAGTGAATTATACTTTGCCTTGTTTTAGTGATTTTCCTTATTTTTAATTTTGGTTGCAGATCATTATTTCAAAACTTCCTTTTTACTATTCTTTGAACTACTTTTCGAAGTGTCAAAGAAAAGAAAGTGATATCAAAGAAATGTCAAAGAGTGATATCACAATAGCTGATTCACTTTCAGCTATATTTGAAGCAGATTTTTTAAGAGCTTTATCATGAGTGTGCAAATTTAAGTGTTTGAGTCATAAATGCCTTTCTAGTAGCCATTTTAGTTAAAACAGTTTTTTTCTCAATTGCAAAATATACAAATATACATAAAAAGCGAAAAATCGTGAATCCATAAATTTTCACCTCTGACGACTTAAAGTAAAAAGAACACCGTTGACCTGTATAATATATAGTTGAAACAGGGGTAGAAATTAAGAAAACATGCAACAGTGTCTAAAAGTTATTATTAACAAATAGGCATTTGAGATTTGTTTACATTGCTCTATAAGAATTTTTGTTTAAAAAAAAAAAAAAGTTATCAAGTGAATTGATATAAAAAATCACAGTACAAAGAATGTGTAATATTCATAATTATGATGAAGTAACCGATTTTGTAACAACAATATAGATCAAAACATTAAACTAAAAATAAAAAAAACTATAAAAGCTAGGATTGACTGAATTTAAAGCATTTATTTAAGAAAAAAATGTATTGATTTGGATCGATTTTAAATTCATTAATTTAAGTTAAGGATGCACAAGCTATGGCCTGTGTGCCAAAACTGTCCCTTGAAATTCGTGACTTGGCCCCCTGAATAGATTTAATTATTAATAAAAAATACATAAAAATTAAGAGAAAAGTTTTTTTTTTCCAGCTTTGAAACAAAAATATTGCTGTATTAGAAAAAGTTACTGGTCATCTTGCTTTTTAATTTACCTACTATTTCAATGCAAGCCTGAATTTGATTGCAAACATTTCATTTTTCAAGTTTTAATCATAGAAAGAGTTCAATGCTTGCATGGAAATGTAATTTCCTTACAAATTTTACAAGTTACCTTCAACTAGGATCTAAATATGCATTACATTTGTACGATTATAGTTTTACTGTAATTGAGGAGGCCCCTAAAATTACATTTTTCAGTTTTCTATAATCTGCTATAAAAAAAAGTTATGCATCCCTGATTTAAATCTAAAAAAGTTTTTTTATACAATATAATTTACTATGACATTTTAAAGATTGCAATATTTTTTAAAGTCTGATTTTATTCAAAATGATAGTTTTACCCCAAGAAATAATAGAAGGGGGATGTTTGTAAATTACTATATGATAAAAAATATATAAATATAATATATTATTTATTATATATAACAATTACATATATTTTTAATAATATAATAAATACATTAAAAATACATAATATGTTAAAATATAATAAAGAAAAGCAGTAAAAAGTTACATGAAACTTTTAAATAACAATATTCCATTATCTGTCTGTCAAATAATTTCTTTTTATTAAACATGTATCAATTACATCCATTTGGTTTTAAAATTATCTAAGTATAGCTAATTATAAAACATATTAACTATGTAATTAGTGTAAATAAATAATGAAATTAAATAACCAATTGATGAGAGTGTTAAACTTTATTAAAAATTATAATTTTATTCTGTAGTTAGTTTATGGTAATGAAATGATAATTTTAATTGGAAACATTAAATATTTAAGCTATAATACAGTTTTTAAATAATATATATAATACATTTTACTGCAGCTATGACTGAATAATGTGAAAAAATTAATAATTATAATAAAAAATAAATCTGATACAAATAAAGATCAGATTGTTTTGATTTTTCAAAAAAGATCAAGATTTTCACCAAGCCTGAAAACAGCATACCATCTCTTTACATTTATTGCTCTGGCATAAAAGACTAATGATAATTAGTTTAGGGTTGGCCTAGGTCAAATTTTAGTGGCTCCAAACTACCTTTAATTCCAAGCCATGTTGAGCAACTTTAAAATAATAAAATAAATAAATGAAAGGATTTCTTACCACTGGTCATGTGTAGAGCTTTAGCAATTTTACCAACAGTTGCATCCATTTTCGATTCAGTAACCTCCATTTCATAGCCCAACTCATCTAGCATTCTACATTTAAAAGAAACATATTTAAAATTGATTACAACATTCATTGGCAAAATAATAATAATAATAAAAACTAAATAGAAAAAAATAAATTTATTTTAAAATCTCCATTAACTGACCATACTAAAAATGGTTGACAATTAAAAAATTTCAAACAAATTCTTAAAGTACTTAGAAAAAAATTCTTACATCTTGAAAACTCAAATCAGTATAAACACATGCTATTAAAGCATATTTAAAATACAAGACTTAAAAAAATGTACAGGAAAAAAAAATTAATTCATAACCAAAATGACCTAAAGCAAAAAACAACCAAAATTGCATTTGTCATCAACTTCTTATCTCTGATAATGATTGTTTAGATTACAAGACCCTGCCATTCTCTAGATGGGTCCATAACACTTACCAAAAAATAGAAGGAATTATTGGTACATAAGCACAAAGCCTACAATACTACTCCTTAACTTAAATCAGGAAATGTCTTTTTTGAATCAGTAATTAGAATAAATTTAATCCTCTAATATTATTCCCACTTCTTTCATGTATACTAGTTTTTCCACTTGCTCAGTTATCAATGAGAAAAAAAATATGGATAATTTATTTCACATCAGTCCGTCTAACTATCACTAGACCATTATTAGTTTGAAACATAAAGTACCTAACAAAGGACGTCATATGATGAAAAGAGCCTTTAATTGTTTTGTCTTCCGTGTAAATATTTGCTTAAAGTTTTGTTGATATTCAAAACTAGGAATGAGGCTCAACCAATTTTGTAACTTTGTTGCCTGTTTCTTTGGGTGAGAGGAACAAATATGTTTCAAAACCAATATGAGCTCAGATTTAAAACAAAGTTACGGCAAATATTTACGTTTTGGTTATAACTCAATTGATTTCACTATGTCGCAAACTGAAAAGATTACTAGTAGTCCAGTGTTTTAAACAGAAAATATATTTGTAAAAAAAAAAAAGGACACTGTTTGACATAAATTAAATTTTAAGATGAAAACAGAAGATGAAACACAAAGATAAAGAAAACTCTCCTCTCATACAAAATGGTATTAATTTAAAATTAAAGATAAGCATCAGAAACATTGAAATACAGCATAAGGAACTTACACAGATTGTTCCTCCAATTCATTCCCTATTTGTTTGCTCATAGATTTTAATGTACCAACTGTGTTACCAACTCTTTCAATTTGCTCTTCTTGGGAATCAATGATGAGCTGAGTGTGAAATAAAAATATTTCAATTAATATAATATATTTCAATTAATATTATATATATTATATATATATCAATTATATATATATATATCAATTAATAATAAACTCATTAATATCATTAACTCTAATAATATCTATTAATTACTAATTAAATGATCTCATATGAATTCATGTTAGAAAAAAACATAGCAGAAATAAATAATTGTTCTTTTTATTGAAGTCACTAATATATAATTAGAAATTTTGTATTTGATGAGAAAAGAGCTGGAAAATTACATTCATGATTATAGACTTTTGAGGCCTAACATATTACACTTAAATTGATTTGAATTCTAAGGTAAACTAACCAGTGAAAGAAAACTTCAGCTTCGCTTGCCTTTTAAAAAATCATATTAATTTCAAAATTTGTAATTTTAGTTAAATGACAGTGTCAATATATTTGTTACTAATTGCAAATTATGTAAAAAAAATTGTAGAGAACTTACATAATATTGTTTTAAAGTTTTGGAGGTTCAAATAACAAGTAGTAAGAAGACCAAGTGAAAGAACAGCTCTTACCAGTGAATGAACACCCAGTAAAGGAACACTTAATTTTGGTTATTTTTTAATGCTCTTTATAAATTTATAAGCCATACAAATATTTAAAAACAAGCCTATTCTTGAAATTATAACATATAAATACTTGGAAAATGTTAACTTTTTTTTGCAATCATGAATTGAAAATTAAAGTGTCAACATATTAACACATACTGTTCATTCACTGGGAAATCTATGCCCAGTAAAGGAACATGCCTTTACAAATAGATTGTTATGTAGTTATTACTAGACAAGCATGAACATTGACCAACACATTCTCTAAAAAATGACTTGTTTATTTGTAATTAACAATTATGTTCTTCACAGTAAATTAAAAAAAGATTTTTAAATTATTCAGTATACATAGTTTCCTTCAATAGAACAAAAATATGTAAACTACAAATGGTTTGAATAAAATTTCAAAATTTTCACAAGACATGTCAGTCTGCAAAATATGTTTTAAATATTAATAAAACAGAAGCATTAACTATAAGTATGCATTGATGAAGTAAAGGCAGAGCACTTTTATTAACAAAGAAATATTATCATCAGAAATATTGCACATTATTATTAGAAACAGCAGCAAGTGCATTAAGGATCAACTTCACCAATTCACGTTAAATTATTGCTTCTATTGGGGATTAATGTCAAGATGTTATCTTCAGATCTAGTTAAATATTTATATCTGTCTAGATACAGACAGGCAAAAAATATATGTCTGATTGGAATTTTTACATGATCAGAGAATGTTAGGCAATATAATTTTTGGTAGTAACATAAATAAGAATATTATATTGAAGCTATAAATGTATTATATTGAAGCAGATAATCTATCAAACTCTTTGAATTTAGAAGCAAATGTTTGATAATTGATGTAAGCTTTTACCTGCTGAGCTTGTTGGGTATCATCAATAAAATTGCTCTGAGTTGGGCTTTCAACTTCATTTTCTAATCGAGTGTATTTAGCATAGCCAGTTCCAAGAAGGCCCTAAAAATGTATAAATTTTTTTTTCAGCAATGCAAAATTTTAAATTATTAAAATTCTATTTATGGTAATTTTATAATTACCTGGCGTGTTTTCTTTTCTTTAGTTTCAAACATTTTATCTCTCATTAACTGTAAAATAAATAATTCAGTTGTGTTAAATTAAAAATTCTATAGAAAAGGAGAGAAAGATTCATATCTTGATAGAATACTATTCTTTTACAGCAGCTTTTAACTTTATAAAAATGCTTGAGGAATAATCTAAAAATTTAATTGGCTTTTGTGTATTTCAAATATCTTTTTGATAAAACAAAATCCCTCTAGTGCCCAGTTTTTTTACTTTCACCAGGAAGGATTGAACTAATTGTCCACGTAACTTTACAACTGAAACTACTATTTACTTACCAAAAAGTGTTCCTAGATCAACAAGCACGCATAAATTATCTGTACATGATTGTTTATGCTTAGACATAGAGCCTTAACATTTTAAACAATGATATTTTAATCTAAAAGATGGTTTAGGGCACTAGCGGTAAGAAAAAAAAAGAATAATAACTTTATTTTTGAATAAAACAGCAATGATTATCTAACCTCATTAACATGAAGGAAACAGGAATAAAAACTTTTTTTATTAAATGTTACAGCTGACGTAAATAATCTTCAATTTAACTCATAACTTTCAGTACTTATACCTTAAAACACTATATCCTGCAAAAGTTTCAATGCCTGGTTTAGTCTTCAATTCTGCTGCTTATTTTTTATCACCAACTGAAAAATCTTCTAAGTTTAGTATTCAGAGAGCAATTGAAAAAAGGTGAAAAAGTAAATTGGTTTAGCAATAAAACTACCCCTACAAAAGAAAGAAAACTATTACCAGAAAAGAATATGTTGACATGCATGCAATAAAAAAATAATAGTAAGACCAAACACCCATAGCACTGTAAGAAATAAGAACTAAATATGCTAAGGAAATAAAAAGAAAAAAAATAGCATTAATACAAAATAAATAACTTGCATAAAAACTAACAACTTAAACAGAAAATGCAAATTTAAAAGTTTAGTAATAAGTGTAGGGGAGAGTAGGCTAAGAACATGTATCTCTATTGTGAAGAAATTATGTTCTCTAGTGGGCAAACTCCGAATTACATATTACTAATCAAGAAAAAGAATATTCAAAATTGAGTTTGTTTTACTATGTAAATTTTCTAATATTCTTCTTCTTTTTTAAAAGTTATCCTTATTTATTGGTCATTGCAGCTATGAAAATTATTTTTAGTCCATCTTATTATACGTTTACTAAAGCTTCATATCCTAACAAACAGTAAGGATATAGTACTGTTTTGTTTTGATAACCTTTGCTCTTGGGGTAAGATTGGGTACCCCTTGATGTGTGTTTATGGTGGGCCCTTAAAAGCGGCAATGCACTGGAGGAAGAATCTACACCTAAGGGTGAACGGCTACATGGGTCACAGGGAAAAATTTACTGCAAAAAGTAAAAACCTTTTGTAACATTTGATCATGCGATCAGGTTTTCAAGTAGTAGGACTCAATCTTAATGTTCTGAAAGCCTAACCTTAAATAACTTAAAAGTTAATTAGTGCTGGTGACATTTCAAGTTACAAAAATCAAACACGAAAACACATTTTCTCTGAATAAATTTGTTTCTTTTCTCTCAAGGAACTTGGATTATTGACCATTAAGTATAAAAGATAGCCGTAATTTGGAAAATATAGTAAAAATTGTTTAGGCAAGAGAGTAGTTCCAAGATTGATTTTGGTACCCACAACACACATTGGTGTTTCCACTTTTTGCATAATTCGCTATATCACCAAAACCAATGAAGTGAATCAAAAACTTTTAGAATACAATTATAAAATTATTTATAAAAAAATAAATTTTAATAAAAAACAAACTTAATAAATCATTTACTACTGTACTGATTCAACAATTGCCGGAAAAAAATTTTACTCTGAGGCATACAAGTTTTTACACAAATTCAAATTACATAATTTTAAATAACTAAATCCAAAACTTGAAAGAAATTGGCCAAGTAATTTCTAAAAAATAAAAATTTGAAAATACTATTTCCTTGAGATGGCAAAATATGCAAAAAGTGAAATTAATAGCATCATACATTAGCTCACTCTTCTACCTAAAAAATTAGTGACTGCAATTTTGCAGATCGCAGCTACACCCTGGGGGGGGGGCGAATGGCTTCAGTGTCTTATTTTGTATTTTATTGAGTTCTAGTACATGAAAATTCCATCTATATAGCTAAAGTTATTAAGCTGCTTGCTTTTCTGCTGCGAAAAGTCAAAGTTGTTCCACATGCTGGGTTGTATCATTAGAATTTGCATTTCAAAGTTGGTGTCATAGTTGTTAATGTGCAATGTTTTTAGAACTATTTCGAGCTTTAATTCAACATTAATTTCAATATAATTATCATTATGGGAGTTAGCAAATTTAATAAAAAAATCTGCTAATGTAAAAATAGTGAGAGATAGCAAAAATGAAATAAATATTTAAAAAGCAAAGCCAACAGGAAAAAAAAAAAAAGATTAAGAAGGGGAAGAGCGATACCTATTTCAAGAACACATTAGGCTCCTAAATATTACTTTTTCATTCATATACCAGAACAAGCTCTATCACATGTGTTCAGTTTAAATTCTGACTATGAAAGTCCATATTCATTAACATTTTTAAGATTATGTCCAAAATAGCACTTAAAGTAATTACAAATACATACTTTTCAAGTACTGTAAAAACAACTAAGTTTGAATAGTAGAAAAATAAATTTTAAGTGTATTTTTTTAAATTCATATTTTTATAAAAATTGATTCTGCTTCATATGCAATTAGTAAGTTGCTTGATTAATTGAAAAAAAATAGGGCTGCTGTTCTGTAATGTTAATTTCCAAGGTTTTGTGTGTATCTTTTTGGAGAAAAGCATTCCGAACATCTGCATGATACATCAGGACATAAAATAATTTTTTTTTTATTTTGTGATAACTCTGATATTAAGATTTTGTCAGACATGTTTTTGCATCCCGAAAACAATTTATTTATTTTAAAAATTACTATTACACTACATATTTTTTAAAACATTTTAATAATAATTAATCAAATGTGGATAATCAATGTGAATTGGAATCAATATGTAGAAAGCTACGACATGACTGCAAAGGGTTGAACATAGAGTACATAGTTAATAAATTATACTTTCACTATAAATTAGAAAACATGTCTCATCTTCTAAATACATCTTTTTTACTATCAGTGAAAATATAACATTTATGACAATAACCTATAAAAAATTATAATTAAAGATGCACACATAAATATTCTTGATAGCATCATTTTTAGTTTGTTCAGGTTAATGCATATTTTAGCTTGCTCTAATTATTTAGACAGATAAAATATTGCAGATAACACATACAAATCAGTAAAAGTGTGAGAGTCAAACTAATTATATAGCAAGTATTTACTTATGCTTTTTATTCCTTGTTTCCACATCATTTAACTACAAATATAAAAGTGCTTACTTATTTTGGATATTTATGTGCATCGCATGTTAAAGTAACATAAAATAATACCTGTACTTCCTCCTTTGTTTTGTCAATAAAAGCCTTCCGAGTATTGATTTCTGTACAGTCAATTTTAAACTTTTTAGGATTCTTCTCAACAATAGCTGTGTTTATTATTAAGTCAAATGAATATAGAATAAAAAGTAGCTACAATGAGTGAATATAGAAAATGAATTCAAAATCATGATTAAAAAATAAACTATACAATATCATTAATAATTCAAGAGATAGGTATTTATAAAAATAATGTTACTAGTGTGTTGTAATACTTTTTTACGATTTAGAAAAGTAGAATTGAAAAATTAAATTAGGGTGTAAAAAGCTTAAACATTTTTGAACATGAATCATTAAGTAAAAAAAAATTATTAAAGATGTATGAATCACATCGATTGAGTCATATGATGCATATCTATGAAGTCATCTTATTCAAAATATTCTGTAAACCATAGTGTTAAAATGAACTTAAAAATATGCCAATTCATAAATTGTGCAGTATGAAAAAGTGAATTAAACTCTATGTAGCCTTTGAATTTTTAGAATAATATAGTTTTCAGATACACTAATTTGACCTAAATTTTAATTATAAATTCAGTTAGTTAAAATAAAAATAAGTTTTAACTTTGTACATTTAAATATGCAGTTTAAAGTACAAATTCTTTTATACTAAATATTATTAAACAATTTGGCTTACACAGATAATTACACAAATTTTATTTGCATCATTAGCTTAACTCATGTATTATGACTTATTTGTGTAACATAATTTTTAGGAGGTTAAATATAATTTCAGAAAAGTAAAGTTTTTTTTTTTTTTTTTTTTGGAATTATTAAGTAAAGGTATTATGGTACTCAAACAGTTACTCACAACAATAAATATTATAGGAAAAAAAAGTGTTTATAAGTATTTAGAGTTAGTATTTACTATATTATATGATAAAATTACACAAAACAATACTAAGTGTTAAATTTAAAATGCATAGTAGGAAACAGTTTCTTTATTAAGAATAATGAAAAATAAATTATTAATCTTATATACTTAATGACTTTGTTTTATAAGGATACAAATAGTTTCTTCGAGATCTTCTAAATCCCATTCAATGCTACGAAAACTGTTTTTGAGCTCAGTGGTGGTCCATTCTATTTCTTCCTTGCTGATTAAGTTTAAATCCTTTAGTTCACTCCAACGTTGATATAAATCTTTCGTTTTATTTACAGCTTCCACAACCTCACTGAAATTTAATTTATAAGTAGTAAATATAAACAGTTACAAAATGCTCAAAAGCATATTAGTATTTATAAACACACATATAAAATAAAAAAACTTCTATTTGAAATTACACTTAGTTTTCAGCAGGGTTGGGTTTTTGACGTCAAAAAGTGGTTTTTGACATGACAAGGGTATAATACTGGTTTAAACCGTCGAAAACCCGTCAAAAATGTCAAAAACTGAAGTTTGCCAAGAAAATATATAAACTTTAAAACTACCAACAGTTGCCATGCATTAGATTGAAATTTAATTATACTATAGGTAATCAGCAGGTTTTAAAATATTTTTTAATTAAAATTAAGGTAAAATAACAGATTTAAAATCTCAGAAATTTATATTCAAATGCATGTGCAGAAAAATTTTGCACAAAAATTGTTTAAATATTTATATTT